AAAAACCTTTTCTCTATATCCAATTTTGCCCTTATAAATTGAGGAAAGGTTGCTACGCTATTAAACGTCAACCCTTTACAAAATTGTATTGAAAACAAGCAAAGCAAAAAAATCTATTTTTTGTTTTGTTTAATAAAAAATTAAGGCGTTTCTTACGTTTAAAAATAGTAAAAAACTGAACTCTGATATTCGAAACGCTTGATTTATATTAGAAAAATTTAAGAAGACCGAGGCGCGCTTTGGAGTTGCGGTGAAGCCAGACATCCGGCGCGGCGATAGAGGTCCAGATAAAGAGAGAGAGAGAGAGAGAGAGAGAGAGAGAGAGAAAGAGAGAGAGAGAGAGACACAAAGAAGCAGAGAAAAAAGCAGCAAAAAAGGAAAAATTGTGCATGAGTTCCCGGGGCCCCCGCTTCCCCCGCCGTTTCCATTGTTTTGGCCGTGGCCCGCCCATTTTCAATGGCTGGCCGCCGCCCATTTTTTCGCACTTTTCTGGGGGCATTCGAAAAGAGTTGAACCGACTTCCGGTAGTTTCAACAGGGACAATACCATGAAATGCCATCGCGCAAAATTGGCGGCCGTTCGCCGGGGTTGCAGGCGAAGGTGGAACTTCAGAGCAAAGCAAAAAACATGAGCTTTCACATTACCAGGGAGAGAATTTTTGTAAATGTCCAGAAATGCCTAATAACGTAAAATTATCGTTTTAATATTGTTTTCAGTAAAACTTAACTACTTTTCACGCGAAAAACTATCCAAAAATCCAGTTGAAAATCGATATTTTAGTATTTTTTAAATAAGATTTGTAATTTTTATATCTATGAGGAGTAAAAAACAATTTGGAATCACCCACTATATTTATATTAGAAATATTTGACCCTTAAGAAAAAATTGCCACCCCCCGATAATGGGAAAGCTCTCAAAAAATCGAAAAATCTGCCGGAAAGATAGTTTCTGACGTTGAAACGTGCCAAAAAGCACTAAATACAACAAAAAGCCGTTTATATGGGCAGACTACGAAAAGCTACCCCGTACAACTTTACTATGTGCGCTCGTTGCGTCTACGTCTTTTGGTGAGCTACTTTACTAAACCTTTATGAACTTTTATCCAAAGCTGAATCCATGCTGATCGGTCCCGGAAGTGTGCATAGAAGCCGAGGGGAAAGCCGGACGAGAAATCGAGGGGAACCGCACTGATGTCAGCTCCGTCAAATTACTTATTTATTTCGGCGGTGCGCCGGCGGGAAGATCGAAAGGGGACGCCTAGCAAAGATTGTTGAGGAAGCAGAGGTACTGTACTGTTAGCGGGGGGCCTACATGTGGAAAACTACCAAAAAAAAGTCAACAGAAATTTTGATATTTTAAAAGTTTTGATAGTTTTTTTCTATTTTTCATGAGGTCTTGCCCAAAAAGCCAAAAATCAGGGGTTTTTTTATGAGTTTTTAACCAAAAAGCCAAACCTCCCCACCACCCCCACTAACAGCCCAGTGCTTCACAAAAAAAAGATATAGAAGATCAAAATTCTGAAGCTTCACTTCCGGAGGTTCCGGAGTAAAAAGAGCAAAGCCGGGGAGGGCCGACCGGGAATTGGGCCAATTTCGCAGTGCCTCGATGATCCATTATAGACGGGCAGGATGAAGGCTTTAGCTATAGAAAGCGAGATAGAAAGATAGAAAGAGTGAGAGAGATACAGAGAGAGCGAGAGAGAGAGAGAGAGAGAGAGAGAGAGAGAGAGAGAGAGAGAGAAACAGCGTATGAATGGATGGAATTCGGAAATAGAAAGAGGATGGCCACCGCATCAGAGCCAAGCCCAGCCGGCAGCCAGGCCGCTCCCGAAAAACAGATTGATTTTCGATTTGGGGGTGGATGGTGGTCATCTCGATACAATGCATACAGGAAACACACATTTTTATGGAGACTTCTGAAGTTATCCAGCCTTCCTGGGGCCTTGAAATGACAAGAAAAAGCGTTAAAAGCTCTAGATGGTTTTTCGAGTGAAAAAATCATTTTATATGACCAAGAACACCATTAAAATACTTACCATTGCGTGACTATACATTTCTGCTTTTAGGAAAGTCATCCCCCGATAATACAAAAGCTCCAGAAATCTAAGAATAATCACTATTAAGTCACTAGGCATTTCTGGACTCAGGAAAAATTAGCTTTCCCCCACCCGATAATCCAAAAGCTCCAAATATGAAAATCAGTCGCTAAAATTCAACTATTACACCCGATAAAACGTTATCAGGTATTTCTGTACTTATAGAAATCTCTCCCCCCCCCGGTAATGCAAAAACTCCTAATAGCAGAATCACCCGCCAAAAATTAACTATTAAAGGGCTTCCTAAATCGTTACTATACATTTCTGGAATTTTAGAAAAATTATCCCCCAATAACGCAAAAGCTCCAAATATAAAAATCGGCCGCAAATCGATGTAATCAATCCGGCGCGCGCCCACAGCCCAAATCAAAGTTTGAAAAGCGGGCCGTGCAGACGAAAAAAGGGCTGGAAAAGCAGAGGCAAACAATTGGCTGCCTCTGCCACTCTCCCCCTCCATAGCTCGGGTTGAAAAACGATATTCGTGGGGTGTGGAAAATGGAAGCCCGTTTCGAGGTGCGCCTCCCGAAATTTCTGGCCCTCCCGTCCGGCTCCATTTCACGGAGCAGCAGCTATCCAAAACCAGGGTAGAGAGGGAATTGGCCTGGCACTGATTCCGACAACACCCGGGGGCCAAGGAAACGCCGAATTGCCATCCAATAGCCCTCACCCCATGGCCCCCGACGACATCACCTTGTCTTCACGACACATCCCCCCCCCCCCCTGACATGTCAAATATTCTACCGTAGCTGAATTGAGAGCTAATTTTAAGGAATTCTTTCCCAACGATTTCATCGACTAACATGTCAAAAAAAGAAAGAATGAAGGCGCTTTTGCATTATCGGTGGGGGTGTCATAAATCATGAGACTTTCGACAGGGGGAAAAGCAGGAATCTTTTGTTTAAAATCCTATTTTTCTGAAATAAATAGAGGAAGCGCTTTGAAATTGTTTTGTTTTGCTTTTCCTTAACAGAAAACGTCAGAAGTTTATGATTAACAGCAAAAAAAAAACGATATTTCGGCCAACATTTTAAATTTTTTAAACTTTTAACTAGGTTTTCTAAGCTGTTCAGGGCCGGTCAAGATTTTTTTAATAAACCAAAAGTTAGCATATATAGAGAAATTTGGACAAATTTTATGTAAACGACAAAAAGCATGAAAAAAAACGAGAAAATGATGGATTCCTGAAAGGTCAGAGAGCTATAGATATAGAGGGAGAGAGAGAGAGAGAGAGAGAGAGAGAGAGAGAGAGAGAGAGAGACTTGCTATTCAAATAATCAGCAAAATTCGAAAAAGCATGATAAATTTAAGAGGGAGCACGTAAACATCAAAACTATTCAATTCAGAATATGCCAGAATGCCACTCAAAAAAGCAGACCGGAAGGCAGGTATGTAGAGGTTAAGAGGGGGCAATGGGAGAGGAGCCGGCAAACCGGGGTGGAGCACGAGGACAGGGAGGAGGAGGAGGAGGAGGAGGATGTAAGTAGAAGCAGTAGCAGCACCCCCTAGAGGTCTCGCCCTCAGAAGGAAAAAAACGGGAGGGAGAGAAGGAGAAGACGTGCCTTCCAATGCACAGCTAAAAAAAGAGAGGGAGAGAGAGAAAGACAGAGAGAGAGAGAGAGAGAGAGAGAGAGAGAGAGAGAGAGAGAGAGGGCAGAGACACAGCCGGGGCGTCCAGAATGGAAGGCAGGGCATCGATCCCTGGGTCCTCCGCCACAGCTCCCGCTTCTCCTCTTCTTCTTTTTCGTCTTCTTCTATGTAGACCTTTTCCCCCGTCGTCCCCCTGCCCCTCCTCGTCCCCTTAGGGCCCAAAAACGACCTCTTCTACTAGCTAGCTGTGGCCCCTGGACCCCACACACACCCACAACGCTTGCCGGTGTTTTGCCCCGACGCTATCTCTTTATCCACCCTCCGGCTAGGGGAAGAAGCACGAAGAAGCACGAAGAAGCAAGAAAAAGCCGCCGATTCTGACACACGTCCAGAGGAAGCGAGCGGAAAAAGCGAAAATAAGAAGGGTTCTTGGGCATTACCGGGGGGCCTAATTTTTTGCATAAGTCTAGAAAGGTCTAATGTCTATTAATAGCAAGCGTTTTCATCGTACTTTTAGTAAAATAACTATATTGAAACTAGAAGATATATCCAAAAAAGTTTTGAAATAGTCGAAATTTTGGTCAAAATCGGGTGTTTTGGTCGAAAAGCGTATTTTTACCTTGCTTTGTTAAAAGTTTGTAAAGTTGTCATGTTTAGGAATAGTAAAAATAGTTTCGACAACTTCCACTATCCAAATTTTGAAAGTTCCCCCCACCGATAATGCGAAAGAACCGAAAGAGAGAGAGACAGTGAGAGAGAGTGAGAGAGTGAGAGAGAGCGAGAGAGTGAGAGAGAGTGAGAGAGAGAGAGAGAGAGAGAGATAGAAAGAAAACGTAAATAGGCGCTCACGTAGCATTTGCCTACTCGCGCGCTTTATTCTGGAAGTAGCAAACTAAAAAACAACACATTGGAAATCAATTTGAATATCGATGAGGAATTATTTTTGAATTAAAAACCACCAGTTAAGTTTGTAGATTAGCCGGCGGCGGCGCGCAGCCAAAAAAAAGCAGCGGCGTGAGAATTTTCTGCAAAAAGACTCAACCCGCGTTGGCACGTCGCCAAAATCCCTTGAGGATTAGACCGGTGCCTTACTAATCCATTTAATGACGTGGCCGCCCGCCGCAACTGCCCATAAAATAACATTTATCGGCACGGCGAAAGGAGCTCAAGGAACAACCTGTTACTGCTGGATTTCCTAGCTAAATTTGCGTCTTAAAATGAATATCTGGCATGGAACTTGTAAATTCAATAATTTATTAGTTAACTTATTATAACATCACAGCCATGATAATCATAAATATTTATAAATTACTAATCATTGTGTTCCGAGAATGGCTGCATACCGGTCCCATAGCTCGGCCATACCAGGTAGGTCATTCAGCGATTTCGCTTCCTGAAAACAAATATCACAATGCATAGTAGCGTATAAGCAAGTATTTTAACAGTTTTTAGAAAAATTTACTATAGTGGACAAGCTATCTAAAAACCGGCAAAATTTGGTCGAAAATCGGCAATTCTTGTTGAAAAATCTATAATTTATGTATTTTTAGTAGGAAGTTGTAGTTTTTACTTTTAATTAATACTCCCCCCGTTAATAGAAAAGAGCTTCTTTAAATTATAACGGTACCTACGGTCAGGAGCGTACCTCAACAGAAACCCATTTGGCATTTGTGTGCTCCTCGGAAACGACGGCCTCAGAGTTAGTGCTCAACACAGCTAGCCAATAAATGGCCGTCTTCGTCTTGCCGACATCTTCGGGATGGGCAACCGATTGGGTGATCTGTTTTTAATTGAAAAACCTGTTAGAATAATACCTTGTAGGTAATTTCGTGCCTCGTGTCCTCGTGCACTTTAAATTGACTTCTTCGGTATCCACTCTCTTCTTCTGTCTCCCGAATGGCAGCGTCGAGGTCTTGCTCACCTTCATCGATATGTCCTGAAACACGATTCTCTAGGTTTTCTTGGCGATTTCGCAGCAACGGGGGTTTATCGGGCGGGGAAAACCAACTTTTTCAAGTACCCAAAATTTTGTAAAATATGATGGCTGATTTTCTAGAACTGTTTCAAAAAAAAGACAAAAATATCGATTTTCTAAGGGTCGTGGATTATCCATTCGAAATATAGATAAATCTTACTCAAAACACGTAAATATCGAACATTACTAGCATTTTACGCCTATTAAAATAGAAAAATTACAAAAATGTCAAGCATTTTAATGAAACAAGGCTTTTATAGCTTTTTCGTCTTTAAAACTTGCTGAAACAATATAAAAATAGCCTGTTTATTACTTTAGAAGTTTTTTAGGTGAATAAAGAAAGTTAGTTGTACCTGCTAAACCCCCCCCGTTAACGCACGAGAACGCCTGTATCATAAGGCCACACTAGATCACCGAAATCTTACTGTTTTTAGAACGCGGAAGTTACTTTCCTGAAGAAATGAATCAAAAGAACAAAATAAGGATCTTACCTCTTTAAATCTTACCTTTCGGCGGAGACCAGTGGAAAGGCGCTTTTGACGCTTGGAGGAGCAGGAATTTGGCTTCTTCGGCCGGCTTCTTCAAAGCAAGCACCAAACCGGCGGCTCGAACCATTTTCAGGCGTCAAAAAGTGGCTTGCAGTGCGATCATGAAGCCGTTCAAGTCAGTGAAGCCCTAGCCGACTGGCTATAGCATGTCTCAATGACCGTAACCCCCGCCAAGGGACGCGCGGGAAGCCAAAAATTTCATTAGATTTGGTAATAGAGCGGCCCGCAAAAAAATTCTGGTAAAAAATGGTTAGAAAACGTTGTGCAAAGCCTAAAAATGATGTAAAACGATTCTATTATGCCTGTTCACATCGTCAAATGTCAGAAGTTAGCTTTTTCTAATTCTGTCTCATCTTCTGTCCTCACATTGCTTTTTTCCATTCCGTTTCTAATCCAATTTTTAGTGATGGCCAGAAAGAAAGCCGAGCCGCAAAAGAAGGTCCAAGCGGGTTCAACCGAAGTGGCGATCGTTGCTCCCGAACCGCCCGATGACAACGATCCACCACTCACCGCTGAAGAACAGGCCTTTCGCGAATGGGAGCAAGCCCCGGAGCCCAACAAGAACTACGTCAAAACGATGACCGACATGAACGCGGAGGCTTGGCGAAAGAGCAATTCACGGTACTGCCTCCAGCAGAAAAATGCATTTGGATTTTAGATTCTGGTTTAATTTGTGCAAGATTGAGCAAAAATACCGGGCTGTCGACGACGAGAACGATTTGCAATGGGACATGGCTACTGATGAGATCTATATGCCCGACGGCATGACGGAAAAGGCAGCCGAGAAAAAGGTTTATTTATTTCCGGGTTCTTTCGCATTATCGGCGGGGGGGCACCAACTTCTTTTCTTAGGATCTAATTTTTTTTAATATAGCGCCTGGAAAGGTTTCTAGATGGTTTTTTACTATTCGTAACGGAGCACTACTAAATTTTATTAAACAAACAAAATTATCGATTTTTCGACCAAAATGATCGATGTTGGGCCAAACGTTCTAACTTTTACAAAAATTTAAGAAGACTAGGGGATGAAGAGGAAGAGGAAGAAGAAGACTTTTACTAATCGAAAACTGCTGAGAACACTATACTTTCACTATAAAAGTTTTGCTGTTTTGCTACCCCCGCTAACAGTCCAGCACCGCGATAATTGCTATTTCTTTCCAGGTGTTGAAAGCCATGCCCGACTTCGGGTCGTGCATTCTTTCGTGTGCAGACCCCGAAGATAGTCCAGCCCGAACGAAGGAGGACCGGTCGATGCTAGCTAAACGACAGTGCCTCAATAAGGTTAATTTTTATTGACTGTTTTCTCATCCTTTTGTAGTTCTTCAACGACCAGTATCAACTAAACCCGAAGCGAATCTTGGCCTCAATCATGCCACCCCCTCAAATGCGGGCTATTCAAGCCGGGCCCAGCACTCAACAAGTCGAACATCGTGTAGTGCACAGAACAACGATCGAGGGCCCCGCCGAGGAGGTCAAGAAAGGTGAAAGTTTCTGGTAATTACAAAAGATTCCGGTGTTTCCGCATTAGCCGGGGAGGAAGGCATGTTTTTTTTTTTAATTGTCTAGGCCCACAAGGTTTTTTCTTCGTTTCCGATTAGTTTCAACATTCTATAAGCCGTTACGTTTTACGATTTCCCCACGATAATTCAACATTTTTGAAGCGTTTGGCATCTAGATTCTGTTTTAAAAAAGTGGGGCACCAAAAAATTGTCAAAATTTTATGATTTAGCCTCTACAGCGACATTAGAAAAATTTACCTATCTCCGCTAAAAAAGCGCTGTTTTTGCTTTTGCTTTTCTTGTTGCTAAAAAAAAGAAGCCCTAAAATTCTCAAAAGCAACACTGAAACACCCAATATACCGTCTTGTTTCCAGTGCTTGAGTTATATCATCGCGGAATGGGCTTGCGCGACGCTATCGATGGACCAGAAGTGCAACTGCAGATAAAAGCCGATGAGACGAAGAAGCTGCTACCTTGGACCCCTCGGCCGATCTGCGGTGAACCCCCGGCCTCAAGGACGCGCAGCCAATCTCGCCTCAGCATCGAGAGGTATGGCCTGGTTTTTAATCATTTCCAGTTTTCTATTCCTAGAACATTGCAACTTTTTATTAAAAGAATCCATTTTCTACCAATGGGCTGTTTTTTGGCCAAAATTTCGACGTTTTGAAAACAATTTCAAAGTTTTGGATAGTTTTTCTAGTCGAAATATAGTTTTATTTGATCAAAAACATTAGGAAAATACTTCCCATCAAGTTACTGGGCATTTCTAGATGGATCCAACGAATCCAAAAACGAAATTTTTTTTGAAAATTGATGCTGATACAAAGCTGAGTTTTAGAAAAGACGACCGTGATTCACATGACCCATTGGACACGACCCCGAAGCGTAGATCTCTGCCCGCGGGACGTGCTACCCCACTTCGCTCTACCGCCAAAACGACAGACGTCCGAAGCCCGGCCCGCGTCAGAAAGTCCGCGAGCCCTATGGCCCAGACCCCGGAGACGAACACTCGAAAATCCGTTGGTCGACCTCGCAGCCAGCCAGCCAAGAAATCGACCCCAGCTGCTGTGAAGCCTCGGCCTGCAACTCCACCAACTTCGGCAAAGGAAACGGCGCCTATGATCAAGTCTCGGCTACCCACTCCCTATTACCCCAGACGCTCTTCAGTAGGGACACCCGGAATTGGCGTGGGAACACCCGGAATGGGAACGAGAAGCCGTTCGATGCTAGCCATTGAGTATCCGGCCTCCTCATCGACCGACAAACCCGCTGCTGTCGTCTCTTCATCTAAAACTCAACCGCGCCGATCGTATAAGAAGAAGAGTCTGGGCGAACAGCCAAAGCTTGGCCAATCTGCCGCTGAAGCGCCGCAGCCCACTGCCGGGACAACTAAATCCCAGGTAAAGACTTGATTGGGTTAAACTCTCGTATTATTCATCAATTTAATTTTGCACAACGATAATTGTCATCTATACTTCTGATAGAATTGCCAAAAACGTTAAAATTTGCGACATTTTGGTCGAAAATTTATAAAAAATGAACAAAAGCTTACAATGTCAAAACTAGAATATAGAAAGTGCCTAGAAATGCTTTTATCATTTTTGTTAATGACGATAACCACTGGAAAGGCCATTATATTAAGGTACACTAGCCTTTCTGATTAGCTCAGTTAAAAGATTATCTATAGCTCAACACTAACTAGAATCTTACACGCTTCAAGGCTCCCACTACAAACGGCTTTTCAGCTCCCGAAAGATCGTCGGAAATCGGCTCCGAAGAAGTTGGACGTCAATACGGCAGTGGCACTGGCGAACCCGTCCCCCAATGTCTCGAGCACGCTGGAGCCGGCGATGAAGCGACGGCGCACGTACGACGTCTCCTACGGCAGCGGATTGGACGTCGCCGTCTCGCCACACGCCTCCTGTTTCAACAACATGGTAATTCTTGCATTTTGGGTCGAATAAGTTAGTCTATACTTACATTTCGGATATAGTTATTAGCAGTGGCAGTAGTAGTAGGCGTAGACAGTGTATTTTATAAAATGAGACCGATTTCATGATCGTCATTTCGTCATATCCAATGTATCCTGTAGTTTCTACGCCCGTCCAAAAGCCCTTCACCCCCCGCGGAACAATTATACCTAAAAAAAACATTAAAAAAAATTTAAAAAAAAAAAAAAAAAAAAAAAAATTATAAAAAAAAAATTGATAATAAAAAACTTTTTTTTTTTTTTTTGTTTTTTTTTTTTTTTATTTTTTTTTTTTTAAATTATTTTTTATAATAATTTTTTCTAAAAATTTTTTTTAAAATTTTATTTAAAATAATTAAAAAAAAAAAAAAAAAAAAAAAAATTTAAAAAAAAAATTTATTAAAAATAAAAATTTAAAAACTTTTATTTTTAAAAATTCTTTTTTTTAAAAAAAAAAAAAAAAAAAAAAAAAAAAAAAAAAAAAATTATTTTTATTAAAAATTTTTTTTTTTTATATTTTTTTTTTTTTTAAATTTGTTGATTATTTTTTTTTGTTGCCCTTTATTTTTTTTTTTTAATTTCCTCTTTATTTATAAAACAAAAAAAAAGGGGGGGGGGTTTTTTTTTGATACCCTGTATTTCCTTAAAAGTCGTAAAAAAATGGAATTTTTTTAACCTTACGTTTTTTTGTTCATTTCATAAATTCTTGACAAAAGATCCAAAGTTTCGGATTTTTTTTGGGGGTTTTAGATGCTTTCTATATGTAAAAACCTTTTAAAATGCTATAAAGGTTTATATTTATAGGAGCATAAATAATTATGGGTGAAAAATCCCCCCCCCCCACTAACAGGCCAGTCCCGTTTTTTTGGCCGGCCATGTAGAAAATTGTGATTGCAGGGAGGAGGCGATGGCGTTGGCGATTGGGTCTCTTCCCAGATGGTGGCCACCGAAGAGGGCGACTTTGTGCGAGAGCACGGCAGCGAGAATGTAAGCTGTCTTGTTGGCATATTTTGCAAAAACCCTGCTGATTCAGTTCGAGCGCGTCTACTCGCAGATGTATCGCAAGGTTCAACGCCAATACTATTTGAAGCAGTAGTCTACCGTCTCCCTCCCTCCTTCCTTCTCTCATTTTCTGCTTCTCCGATATATTCCTGTATATGTGATGCACCAATTTCAACCGTTTCATGTGCTATACGTTTCTGTTTTCATGTTTCTCTCATTTTTTGCATGTTCTTTTCGAAATTCCTTTATCGAGACGCGGGTTAAGAACGAATAAATTGATGTAAAGGGCGTTAATGTAGCGTTTGGAGATCGTGTTGGCGCTTCACTTCGCCGCAGTAGCTGGCTTCGTTTGCTAAGGCGGCTTGGACACAGAAGGCGTCTTGGACTCGGCACTCGGCTTGGCCCCAGCACCCGGTTTGGACTCTGCACTGGGCTTGTCCTTCGACTCGGAGGTGGCCTTCTCGTAGGCGGCGCTGAACGCTGCGATGAAGGGCTCAACGGATTTGTCCAGGAAGCCTTCCTGAAATCAGTTCCGTTGCGCGTCTACCATGGGTGTGCCTGACCTTGTAGAAGTAGTTGAGGAGAACCTGGTGAACAAAGAGGTATTGGTGGTGTGTCTGCACTGAATTGGCCCGCTGCTTTCGCAGATCGGTAAGCAGCTTCTCGACGTCGTTGCAGGCCTAAACGGTAAGTTAACGTTTTTTCAGTTCAAAATTGGGCGCCTTGAAAACTGTGAGGGACCACCTTGCTGCCAGCGTTGATCGACTCGAGGATGTACTGAATGAGGACGATCGACCCGGTGCGTCCAATACCCGCTGAGCAATGGACGACGATGGGCTTCCTACCAAGAATTTATATCGGTCGACTGAAGGTGCCCTACTCGGTCTGCGAGAAAGTCTTCAAAAGGTAGATGAGGGCCTGATCGGCGGTGGGCACCCCCCGGTCCGGCCATTTCTGCCAGTGGTAGTGGGTCAACTGGTGCACCTGACGACCGTCCACTTCGACCGTAAAATGAGACACCACCACTTCCGCTTGCGTCTGGCATTCCCATTTCATCTAAAAACGGTTGCAGTTAGAATTATAGATGCGACCAACCATTTCTTTCTTCTTCAGGTGAATCGTGTACGGGCCGAAGGTTTTTGGGCTGGCCGGGTCCATGGGAAAGTATTCGGCGCACTTCTTTAAATTTTTTTCCAAAAAGTCACACAGCATCAAAATGACCTCGACGCCGTCTTGAACGATCATTCTAAAGAAAGCCCGTCGTCGCGGAAGTTCTTCGATTTTGTGATTTTTTTTGTGTGGCTACGAAACTACAGATAGTCTTTCAAAGTTCTTCGAGTGAAATCGTTGTACGAGTGAAATATAGTTTTACTATAGTTTTATTTCGCTACAAACATTATTAAAACACTTCCTACTAAGTTACTAGACATCTCATTTTGCCCCCCCGATAACGGGAAAAAACCGAATTTATACTGGCACGACCCACTTCCAATGGTCAGCACAGGTGGACTCGAGCGGCGCCTGGCAGCAAATGAAGCGATGCGGATTCTCGGGCGTGGCCACATAGTTTGCGTGGATGTAGTCGTTGCCGCCGTTGTCGCGCAGAATCACCCGGCCGTCATCCAGGCAGCCCACATCCTTGTACCGGTTCTTGGCCTGATTGCGCGAGAACACGGTGCACTTTTTCATATCGCACTTCCTAAAGCTGTTTTCAGGAGCCGCAAAAAAATAAATTTGCCGTGGGTTTCGCTGGAACGCCGCTTCGATGCCAGAGACTTTTAGCTGCAGGACGGCCTGGCAGAAATCGCGCACCTCGGCCTGTCGCTCGATGGCGACAATCGATTGCTGGACACTATTTGTCGCTAAAAGTAGACAGATTTATAGAAAAAAGAGCGAGGTTTACCCGAAGCGCTCTTCCTCCCGGTCTTCGGCTTCCTGTCTTCGGCGCTCGTCTTCTGGTCCTTGGGCTTCTTCTTCTTCATAAGCTTGAACATGGCTGCAGTAGGAATGGATGGTCGATGGGACTACGTCTTTTTATAGTCGACTTTACATCTAAATTTATGCATCACCGCCTAAAATTATTGCAGATTCTGATTTTCCATTTAATTTCGGCGTCTGCTTATGGTTCAAGTTTTTTTTATAGCAAAGGCTTCGTAACTCTAATCGTTAACTTCATAATTTATACTTATTTAGTACATTTGTGGTTTTTCCCGCCTTTTATTTTTGCTTTTTAGTTTTATTTTGATGTATTCGACCAACCGCTTACGCTTGGGAATGGCGACCTCCGTCAATAGTATCCCGTCGTAAAGGCCCTAAACTCATTTTTTTTTACTTGTCAGTTTTTACTTTCAAACTTTCTTGAACTCAGCCCAGGCCCGAATTATGTTTGTGAAGATTAATTTTCCCCTTTCAGGCAGTGTTCTCCATTGTCAAGCCCTATCATCTTCTTCCCCGCCCGCCCATGCTCAATATCCTCCGCCATGCTCGTTGGAGAGCTCGGTACGCGAACAAAAGCCCTTTCCCCAATTTCTAATTGGTACTTTCAGGTTACTACAACGATTCGCCTCCACAAGCTGCACGGTGGGCCACAGCGAATTGGTCCTGCGCACCAACGAAATTGCTCGATTCGCCGACGGCTCAGCGGTAGTCGAATGCGGTGATAGCTCAGTAAATTTTTGTAGCGTTTTTAAGGCTAGGATTTAGGTTCTAGCAACGTGCGTCACAAAGTATATCCCAGACATCGACCCCGGCGGTATTCCGTTGAATGTAGACTTCCAAAGAAGCGCCGCCGCCGTTGGCCGAATCCCGACGAATTATTTGAGAAGGGAACTTGGGCAAAGCGATGAAGACATCCTCACCGGACGTGTTATTGATCGAGCAATCAGACCGATGATCCAGTCAGGATGGGTCTATTCAACAAATGTTCGTTTTTTTGGTTCTGGGCTGCTGGCGGAGGGGACCTCAATTTGCCCGATCGGATTGTTAGCTGTCTCAGTAATGAAAAGCACAGCGCTTATAGGGTTTTCTTCGTCGTTTCTAGTACTGAACGATAATAAAATTCTTGATTTTAGGTCAAAAATTTTTGAAAATTGTCAGAAATTTTTATTTAATGAAGCTACCAAATAGCGCTGTAAAAATACCTTATAAAACGGTTTTCGCCCAGTTTTTGTATATTTCTTCGAATAACGAGTTTTAGATCAGCATCAAACCACTGGCGCTAGATGACGAGGGTGATGGCGTGATATTGGGTCTGAATGCTGCCGCTTGCGCATTGAATCTATCGTCAGTACCTTTGATAGGTCCGGTGGCTGGTGTGAGGGTCGGAATGGTGGATGGGAAGGTATAAAGATTCGGGCTTAAAATAAACCATTAACCCCAGCTTCAACTCAATCCAGCACGCGCAGCCATTGAGGGGATGAGCATGGTTTTTGCCGGCACTCACGGTCGAAAAACGGTTATGATCGAGATGGAGGGGCCACAGGTAGAGCTTTTTCTCTCATTTGGTTCTTTCGCGTTATCAAGGGCTGGAAAAATTGTTGGGCAAATCTATAGATGCCTAGTAACTTAAAACGAAGTATTCTAGTAGTGTTTTTAGTCAATAAAACTGACATTCACTAGTAAAATTATTTTTAGTACTTTCAAAACATTTCAAAAAGGCAACATTTTGGTCGAAAACTTTGCTTTTTGTATTTTTCTTTCTTTTCATATAAGTTTGTAAAGTTTTTACGTCTTGGAATAGAAAAAAAACAATTTAGAAACACTACCGCTATTTTTATTGGAGAAATTTGCTCCTAAAAAAAGTAGCCTCTCGCCGCGATAATGCGGTAGACCCCTTTTTCACTCGTTTGGATATGATTTCTTTCAGATCCCATCCTCTATCCTCGAAGAAGCCTTTGACATGGGCTTGGACGGTGTAGAAAATGTGCTACAAGCCATGGACAGGTTGCAAAAAGCACACGGAAAGCCGAAAACACCGGTATCTGTACTCACAACATAGAAGCATTTTCGTTACAGATTTCCGTCGACAAAGAACAGATAAAGTTCATGAAGCAAATCGAGAATCTGGCCGCGGATCGGATTGAGTACATTCTGACAGATCAATCGCATGATAAGGTCAGTTTTTCTCTATTTCTGACCAGAACTATTTTTGAGGTTAAAGGGTCCGATTTTTTTAGACATCTCGCGATCGAGCGATCCGTGAAGTTGAATTGGACGTTCTCTCGGCGATGCCGGTCCGACCTCCTCCGCATCTTTTTCATAAATATGTAAAAACACGATTAAGGTACCAACCTTGTCTTATTTAATCAATTTTGTTTTCTAGAGAATTATCGCTGCAATCAGGGATCCGTTGCGACGGCCGACGGCACCAGGATTTCCGGCCAATTTCGATTCAGGTGAACCTCGGCTTTATCCTGACAATCTCCTTATGTAGGTTGACGTCTACAAAAAATTACACGGGTCATCTCTGTTCCAAAGAGGACAAACGCAGGTAGAAAATTTTTACAAGATTCTGGAATTTCGCTTATACAGAATGGGAGAAACGTCATTTTTTTAGGTGATGTCGACGGTGACGTTTGACAGCCCGGCTTCCGCTTTTCACCCAGATTCCGTTTCGCAAATGCTCGGGGCGCAGCAGAGAAAGTCCTTCATGCTGCATTACGAGTTCCCCGGATTCGCCACCAACGAATTCAACAAGGGCAAGGGGACAAATAGGTATGGATGGCTTTTTGAAATAACCCTTTACATTTATGTAATACAGTATATTTCATATTTTTGAAATATCGTTTCGTCATGTCATGGTGTCGAAATTTAGATACCTTTTTCGCCTCGTATTGAAATTTCAGCGCGTGGGAATTTCGTCAAAACGATTTTCGGCAAAATGATATTTCCAAAGTGTTCGACAAATTGATATTTCAACAAAATATGATTTTCGACAAACAGCTAGCAAATGGATGGACTTTACTTCTTTATAGACGCGAGATCGGACACGGATTCTTGGCAGAAAAATCGTTGAAACACGTGATCCCTGAGGAATTCCCATACGCGATCCGGGTATCCAGTCAGGTTGAGCCTATTTTCTTTTTTTAGACTCTGTATTTAGGTCCTCGAATCAAACGGCTCTTCATCGATGGCCAGCGCCTGCTCGGGATCGTTGGCCCTTTATGATGCTGGCGTCGAGCTGAAGGCCCCGGTGGCCGGCGTTGCCATTGGCCTTATCACAGACTCTGCAAAACCGGATGATAAATATTTGGTAGGTCTCCAAAAATTACCCTAAATATTCGATTTCTAGTTACTCACCGACATCCTGGGCATAGAGGACTATGCCGGGGATATGGACTTCAAAATTGCCGGCACCTCCAATGGGTTCACGGCCATGCAAATGGACATCAAGGTTCCGGGGATTACGAGGAAACAGTTGAGCGAGGCTGTCGAGAAGGGTACGCTTTTTAAATAAAAATTATAAAGTTGTTATAAACATACAAAAATTTTTATGTTTTTGTTGCTCTTTTTTTAGATTTTCGGGGAACCTACTTTTTTGTCGACCCAGGTCTAGATTAGTTAGATAAAGAGCGGATATGTTTTCAAATCGATTCGAACTATCGAGGAGTAGCAAAACTTTACAAATTTTAGCCAATAATGTTATTTTAGGGAGAAAAATAGTCAATTCGCACTTTTTCGCGGGTAGCGGCTCAAACATCGGTGTTTGTGCTTTAGCGGGGTTGCTATGAAAAAGAATGGTCCGAAAATTATAAAAAACCTGTTTTTGAATTTTACTAAGATTTTTACGGTACCTATGGTGTTTTTAGGAAAACAAGGCGTCGAATACGTGCTGGATAAGATGGCCGAAGTGCAGCCGAAACCCCGTGAAAAATTCAAGGAAACAGTGCCGGTGATCGAGACCATGCAGCTGGAGCCCTACAAACGCGCCATCATCTTCAGAAACCAAGGATTTGTGGCGAAAGCAATCGAGGCGGAGACTAGAGTTCGAGTGGGTTTTGTAACTATTTTCGGAAAAATACGGCTGATCTTTCATTTTCTTTTTCATCCTTTTCCAGATTTCGGCCGATGATGATTCGCACATTCAATTGGTTGCTCCTTCAAGGGAAAGGTTGGAAAAGGCGAAAGAAAGACTTACATCGTAAGAATAACCCCTAATTTTGTAATTTTTTGTAGATTATTGGTCGAGACGAAAACGGAAGATTACGATTTCGGCAAATTGTTGAAAGCGGAAGTGGTCGAGGTGGTTTCGTTTTGCGAACCGATAATTTCTCCCTTTTTTCAGCTAGTCGATCGTGGCCTTGTAATACGGCTGCAGTCGGGTGGGCCCACCTATCTGATGCCGAACTCGCAATTGAGTAGCACTCCGATCAAGCACCCCTCGGCCACTGGAATCAAGGTAGATTTTGTATATTACTAATTATAATTGGTTTGCCGGTTTTTTCGCATTATCTGGAGTGGGATTATTCCTAGGCCCCAATTTTTGTGATAAAAAAATACAAAAGCTAAATATAAAAAATGTTTGGCACAAAATTGCCGATTTCGTCGAGATTTTAGTCCCTCTCTTCGACAATGCAAACGAAACAGCTCGTCTTTACAAACGTATCCGAACGTACAAACGAAAAAATAAAGGTCAAGACCATTATTTTTGAGATAAACGAAATTTATTAATTTTGATAAATTTAGCTAATTTAAAATTATCATTTTTTTCAGGTGGGCCAAAAAGTGACGGTGCAATGGCTGGGCCGAGACCCTCGTACTGGCGCCGTCCGGTTCTCGATGCGGATGTCAAACGCCGGTAATCTGGTCGCCAACCTCCACAGCCAGATGAATCGCACCTGATAGCTAGGGGTTTACATAATTATTTGTTTCGTTTTGCTTGTTATTTTGTTCCCAAAGTCTACGAATAAATGGATACCTCCAGATGCCTATTGTGGAAAAAGCTTCCTCGCTTCCTTTCGGAATTGTCTATTGAAAAAGAGTTTTCGGTAATTTTTCGGTGCTGGTTTGTTTGCGGGGGAGGGGGTCCTATGCTTCTCTACGCGCCCAATGATGAAAAAGAAGCTATTTTCATAGAATTTTACATACTTTAGATATAAAATTTTTAAAATTGGTCAAATTTTCCGTTAAAAAATTCTTTGCGTAAAAAAATTAAAAATAGTTTCTGTTTTATGTTTTTGGAAGTATGCCTGAATCAAACAAGTTGCCCCCGCTAACGCACAAAAACTGATGTTTGAGCCATTACCCGCGAAAAAGTAATCAGTGCGAATTGACCATGCGCGGCCGGTTGTCTCAGGTTACGGCGAACGCCGCCCATTTTCAGATCCCGCCATCGCTCTATCAATGGAACCTCAGGCCAGCCCAGCAAATTCTGTAAGTCTAGCTACACGAATTGTTAAAATCCGCCTTATATATAAAATGAACAAAACTATTCAACGATTTATTCGATGAATAGTTTTGTATTTATATCATAAAAATTATACTTCATAAACTTGCTTACTCGCATAATCAATATTTTTAGGATAGCGCTATGGAAGCAGAAAACCTACGGCTACAACAAGAATTGAAACAGAGCCAGGCGGAAGTAAGTGATTCTTAGAAAGCCCATTACTAACCTCATCACTTTTTCAGATCTCTCGCCTTCGCAACCAGAACAATCTCTACTTCCACAAGATCAACCAAATGAAGGCCAAAGAAGCCCATACACAGGAAGAACTCGTAAATCTAAGGAGGGCCCTGGAATTTTATCGTGACGCTGCGGAAAAGCAGTTAAAAGGTTTGAATTCTGCTGTGTTCAAAATCTCCTTCTAGGTCAACCGGATGAACCCCTAAGGAAGAGGCAGCGATTGCACTTTGGAAGTATTGAAAATACGGATGCCATGCAACTGGATTAAATTTGATAAATTGTAAATTTCGGCGTGCTCGGCCTTATCGCACCGACAGACTTGCACTCTTTTTTTGTCTCTACTTCCATAACATCTTTCCCGTTTTGATAATTGGGTTGTTTATGACATTCTTGTCACTTTGGCTGAGTGCTCCGGAGGGTTCGGAGGATTGTTTTCAAAAGCGGCTTCCATGCCGATGTTCTATTGATCAGAGCGAGGGCCTATCTCGGCGTCTCTTCGATGGGCCCCCACATCCATTCACTGTCTGTCGTCTCTGTCCTCTACGGTATTCGCCGTCCCTTCCAGCGGCCCGGGCCTTTCCTTCTGTGGTTTTTTCGGTTGAAGGCCCTCTTTTAGGCAAATAACGAGGGGCGAGTTTCGAAGGCCTTTCTCTTGGCTCATTCCTTGCAATCCTGCAGCCCAGGGGAACGGTCTTTGTCGAGTTTTGGGCCAGATTTTCGCGCGAAATTTTTTGGGGTTGTAGAATAGTGGAAATTCGCGCTTGTCTTTCCGCTAAACTATGAAAACGGGGCTAAAACTGTAATTTTATATCATAGTTCTAATAAAAATACGTTGAAAAGTCTATTCTAAAAATGCGGGGTCGTTAAATCTAAAGGAATCGGTCCAAACGCTTGTAGAACAGTGAAGCCGCGCGCTTGTTTTTCGCTAAATCTATAAGAAACGGGCTCAAATATTTCATATTATACCCTAGCTTTAAACAAAATACTTTTAAAATTCTGATTTGAAAATGTAGGCGCGCTAACTCTAAGGGAATGGCGCTAAATCTGTAATATTATAGCTTAGTTATAATAAAGACGCCTCTAAAAGTCTATTCTGAAGCTGTCGCTTTGCTAAATCTAGGCGGGTGTTGCTAAAAACTATAATATAACAAGCTATGTATGGTAAAAATACGTTCAAAGCCTATTTTGAAAACGAAAGTTCGCTAAATCTAAGGGCACGGGTCTGAAAACTCCAATATTCTGCCGTAGTTAGAATCAAAAGGCTTTTAAAAGTCTATTCTGCAACTGGCGATTCGCTAAACCTAAAGGAACGGGTTACTGGGTTAGTAAAGCGCCAGTTGGCGCGCCAAAATGATGCAAGCGCCAGGTAGCGCGCTATTACGTTCGTATACAAGAGACGATAGCGCGACTGGCGCAATATCCGGGAGGAAAGCGCCAACCGGCGCAAAAGCGCTATTGGCGCAAAAAAGCGCTACTTCGCGGAATTTCAAGTCTTGCCAGGACCCATTTTCTAAGAAAAGCGCCATCGGGCGCATTTGAATTCCGAACACCTTTCAAAACTGCGAAAAAATGACTGTCCAGGGAAAAAAAGTCTTTGTTATTAACTTTTCTTATGTATTTTTTTGCTTATATTTACTTCATGATAGCAAAAATTCTAGGATTACTGAACCCTGTAAATTATTTTTTAGATCTGGTTACCCGATTTCCGGTAAGCTCTACTGACTTAAAGATTAAGCCCTTTCAATTTTCCTGAGACAAACGTTCAATTTTTCAATTTTCGCTGAGAATCACTTTCATATGATCGAATGCGCGTTTACTTCTTCACGAGCACATTCTGTCACCGTCACAAATCCGTGGGTCCCAAAAATTACCAAGTCCAAATCCTTTTTCAGATAAAACTTATCTATTTCCCATGTTTAGACTAATTCGCCTGCCTTCTGTCGTCTACACCGAGCATGTAAGTCGCCACACAGTTTATTTCAGACAAAAATGGGGTATGCGAAGCACCAACAACAAAAATGTAGGTTTCTAACCATCTACAAGTCAAAAAAAGTGGTTTCAGGTGCGCGGAACGAAAATACTCCAGAGAGCAGATGCCATTCTAGCTCCGAACTAGTGTACTACATTGCAAAAAGCAATGTAGAGCCTTTTTTAATAAAAAAGTATTAATATACCGGAACCCGTATGGGCAATTGAACAAAAGAGCGCGCCAGTTGGCGCTTTTGACATTCTGGCGCGCCACTTGGCGCTTTTGCAAAAGCGCCAGTTGGCACGCCTGCTAGCGCGCTATTAGCGCAATGGGTAGCGCGCCCAACTGGCGCTTTACTAACCGAGATAGTAGTTATGATTTCTTACTGTAAGTACAATAAAATGGTTTCCCGTAGATAGCCGCGTATTCTAGAATAATTTTTAATAGTCAAAATTTTATAAAAGGGTTTGAAGAGTCAAAAATGCGCTTCCAAAAGTGACTGCCCGCCCTTTTCCTCCCCCGTGTGATTCCTAATCTCTGCCCGAATCCACAACGACCCGCCCCGTCTCACACCTCGTTTTTCCCCTTTTGAGTCCCTTTTGATGTGATAGACAACCCGCCGATTCGTCACACGGGCCGAATAATTTACGCCGCTTCCCCCGCTATCCTTTCCGGGTCACATTTTTTTTGCTCGCCAAAATTTACCCGCCAGCATTTTTCAGGTATTGAAAAATGGACCTGATCGTTCTGAAGCTTTTGCTGCTCCTGTTGATGATCGTCGGCACGCTGGCCGCTGGTTTGCTGCCGATCAAGGTTCGTTTTTCCTTTTTCGGTGGAAGAATGGAAAAATGGTCAGCTTTATTTAATTTTGTCGATATCTACCTAGTCTCAATTACTTATTATATGGTTTTTCTTAGCTTTCGGCCACTACAACCGTCTAATTACTCTTTTAGAAGTGCCGAAAATTTTGTTTTTCATAGGGTTTAGCCATATTTCGGGAATTCCGGCCCACTAGAAGAATATAGAAACCGTTTTACAACACGTTAACTTTCTAAAAACTTGGGAAATCCTGAAAATCCGAAGTTTTCGACGAATCGGTCGACGTTTTTTTGGAGTTTTTGTAATTTTATTTAAAGTTTTGTAATAGAATTCTATGAAAATGGCCAAATCTTGATTATTTCGCCGCTGAATTGCTATTCGCAAAATTTCTTCCCCAACCGCGGAATCGTTTTTATACCTTCCCGTTTAGGTCCTCGGTCTGCTGCGGCATTCGGCCGCCCATGCCCCGACTTCACGGCACCACCGCAACGTGTCGCTGATTTTGTGTCTGCTCACCTGCTTTTCAGGTAACGAAATAGACTTTGTAAATATTAGTTTTTTTTACAGGAGGTGTGTTCCTGGCCACATGCTTTTTGCACTTGTTCCCCGAGCTGCAGGAGACCTGGAATGCTTATAACACAAAGTTTATTTTCTGTCTCGATCAACAATCACTTTTTTTCAGCTACAATCTGGGCATCAATTATCCGATCGCTGAGCTGCTGTCGTGCATCGGCTTCTTTTTGCTGTTTTTCATTGAAGAAGTGGGTTTTTTGCGATTACCGAATAAATTTTTTTACCTTGTAGGTTCCAATCATCGAATTTTTGCCGTGTTATGGAGTTGCACACCGTTTTTCGCTATAAATGCACATAAAAAATCTTGAAAAATCTTGCTGCCGTTGAGTTTTTTCTCGAAAATGTATGAAAAATGGTCGAAAATAAGCAAAAACGACTTTTTAAAAGTGCTATTGGTGTTTTAATGATTCTTAACAAAATTCTCTTGATAGAAAAAAAATTTTTTTAGGTCATCATCATGGCGATTCCATCATTTGCTCATGGCGGACACGGCCATTCCCATGGAAACCACGCTGCCGTCGAGAAGTGAGCTATCGCGCGCACCAATGGATAATCCTCCTTCATTTTTAGGGATGATGGCACCGCTTCCGGCTGTTGTATGGCCCCCGGAGTGCCCGAGACCCAGATGAACTCGCAGGAGGAAAAGCTGCTTTCGGGTATCTATCCACTTTCCTTAGCTAATCAGTGATTTAGGAGCTGTTCAATTCACTGAAAACAACACTATTCCCGATGCGGACAAGGATAGCAATGGCGGCTCGGACACGGAAGGCCACTGCCGGACACACTGCCCACTCACCGTCCATGCCGTCTATCGACGGGGGAACTCTGTGGAAAAGCCGAATTGTCAAGTCATCACTCCGGAGTATGTCTTCATTTTTGTTGCGTAATTAAAAAAAAGCGATAGTAAAAATAGGCACACTCCGTGGAAGCGGGATAGCGAATCGATTTTTTATGTAGTTGATGTTGCTTAGTAATTAAAGTTAAATTTTTTGATCGTCTTTTTAGTGGGCACCTTGCACTTGAACAAGATTTTGGCAAAAAAGGAACAAGACTTCAAATTTTTACTTTTGATTTTCACCGGGCTTTTTAATATAGAGACATTTTTAAGCAAATTACAAGCGTTTCCAGACGGTTGACTTTTTGGCCAACATATATAATTAATAAACTAGTCAAAAGATTGGTCAGTGATCATTTTTGGTGTTTTAAAAAGGTTTGTATCTTGATATTATATTAATCGGGAACTACTAAAAAACTATAAAATATTTTTATTTTACTAGGCAGACTGATGTAGTAGTTTTTGCTAGACCACTAGTCCGACGACAATATCGAAACTATGGTTCTGTTGACGACCCTAGTCGCCACAAAGCCCAATATCTCGGGGCCGGCGTACAGATGCCACTACGTAGATTTGCTTCCGATTATGGGTAACTTCCCCCTGCTGCTTCTCAGCCCGCCTTACCTCTGTGTCTTTCCTGTCTTAAAGTATCCCTTGTGGGCTTTGTTTCGTAATATCTTTGCTTGTTTAAATCTACTTTTTCAGCCTGTGCGGTGCTGTCGTGTTGGCCGAGCCAGAGCGATGCGAGACCAACTGCGATCAGGGTAATTTTTAATTTAATTTTATTGCTAGTTGTACTGTAATTTTTAGTTTTTTTTTGCGGATTTTCAGCCTATCAAATCCTTTTCAGTTCAAGAAGACCCGCCAATTCTGATGGCGTCGAAGCCTCACGCTCACTCGCACGGCGTCCGCTCGATCACCCTCGTCGCGGCCCTCTCATTTCACTCGATCGTCGAAGGCGTCGCGCTAGGAATTACGGTATCGTAAATTGTTTGTCGTATAATTTTTAATTACTAGTTTTTCCTAAATTCATTTTTCTAGACCAATTTTTCCTAAAATTGATTTTCCTGAAACCAGCCAAGTTTCGAAAATACCTAGATTCTGTTGCATTGGCGCGGCAAAACCCGATTTTTTTGCTGTAGGAGAAGGGGAACAGATTTCGTACATTTCTGATTTCGCTACACCCTGATTGGGCTTTGTTAAGAAAATATAGGCGAAGTGTTTTAAAGAAAATAATAAATAAATGAAAATTAGCCCACATTTTTAGGGAAGTGCCACGGAAGCCTGGACGCTCTGCTTGTCGCTGATGGTCCACAAGATCATCGTCGCCTTCTCGGTGGGGTTGCAGCTGGCCCGTACGCATGCGCATGCCAAACATTGGGTAATTTTTGATGTTTCGGCTTCATTATCTCGTTCAGGTGGTTCTGTCGATCTTCATCCTGGCCATCATGTCGCCGCTGGGCTCCCTGTTCGGAATGGTCGTCCAGAATACCTTCGACGGCGCCTTGAAGGAAGCGTTAATGACGTTGTTCCAAGGTCTCGCTGTCGGCACCTTCATCTATGTCACCTTCTTTGAGGTATCGGATCTGAACCTTTCGATAAGCTCTAATTTCCCAGGTGCTTCTGCACGAGCGCGACAACGAGCATCCGAATCTGTACAAGCTGTGCTTCATGCTGCTCGGATTCGCGCTCATCGGCGCTTTCCGACTTTTTGACGATGGTCATCAGCACGGGCATTCGCATGCTCATGGGTAGGCTTTTGGTTCTGGTTCGTTAGCGGGGGGGGGTAACTAGCTTTATTCAGCCGAATTTCGATGGTGAAGAAAAGTAGACTATTTTTTTATTGTTTTTAGTTGTTTCCGATTACTAAAAGGTTACAAAATTGTCGATTTTAGACGATTTTTCATAGGTTTTCTACCAAAAGCCATGTTTTTCGGAAACATAAATTTTTTGCCACTTTTTTATATTTTTGACGAAAAACTGAAAGATTTCGAAGATTTTAATAATTTATTGGCTTTTTAGCTAACAAGGGTTAACGAAACCGTGTATTTTTTAGACCCGATGACATCCACCACGCAGAGAATCTGACCACCGTCATCCCCTAAGCATCGACCCGCTTGAATCCTTGTTCCGCAATTTCTTTGCTACATAGCATTCTCCGGCCCGTTACCTCCCTCCTCGCGTTCTGTCTATAGTGGCTTGCCGTTTCGCTTCTTCTACGGGTTCTATTAAATTGCTTACCGCCCTATCTGCGATTCCATTTATTTGTACCCCCCAGTTGACGAGTTGTTCGTGTTTCCTTTGTTCATTGTTATAATTGTTGATCCGCATACCTCCCTTTTCCTCTTTTCGCCCTACCGGCGCAATTCCACAAAATGATGAGCAATGCTGATCTCTTCGCATCGAACTTTTACATATAAACGTTTCTTTGAAAGTCCGTTGAATTTGGGCAAACACGTACTATCGCGTTGCATGGCTTATCGACAAACTTTGTAAGCGATTGAGCGGCGCAGAGGCATGACGCAATATTTGTGCCTTACTTTAGTTCCGTTTTATGCCGGCGCGCTGAGGGGATGCTTTCAAGACTCGTTGTACAAATACAGGTGTCTTTGTTGGGTTTCTCTCGATAAAATGGGCCGGGGTCCTTGGGGGACCGGGCCCGGGGACTTTTCCTCGTCCCGGTGCCCAGCAAATAATAAAGTTTTTTTTCGTTTTTTTAGGTTTTTACTATATTTAAAGCAGTTTCCAGGAAAATTTTGAAAAATGTTTGAAAAAGCGGAAATTTGGCCATTTTGGGTCTATTTTTCGCCTTTTTCTTTTTTTTATTTTTTGGTAAAATGGGGGGAGTTTTTTGGCCCGGGGTAGTTAAAAACATTTTAGAAAGCCTCCCCCCAATTTATACAAAACATCCTTGCTCCCCCAAAAAATTTGTTTTCCCCCGGGATCCCCCCCGGAACCTAAAGAACCAATGGGCCTTTCAGTCGGCAAGATGCTTTTCGCGGACCGGCAAATTATGGGACAGATTTACTCGCGATGGGTTGCGGCAGAGAATGAGAAAGATACAAGTTAAAGAGGCAGGTTAACAATGGATTGGGCTGGTTTTTGAAAATGCAACTGGATGGAGCAATAACTGGCGATTCCTTTTTTACAAGCAAGAAAACGCTCTTTTTAATTTAATCGCTCTGCCTAGTATTATAAAATCGCGTTCTATAGTTTTAGCGTAGGGCCGAGCAATACAACATCACAGAAGCCGTTTTGTACTGATCAGAAATAACCACAAAAACACTATAAAAATAATTGTGTGCAGGAGGTATCGATTACATAGAAATTGCTTAAGTTGACCAAAATATCAGCCCGTTTTGAAACGTTAGCAATTTTATTCCAAAGGTCTATATTAAAATCGGCGCAAAAAATGGAGTATATCCCTTCTTAATTCACCTTTTTTTCAGGCAGAACCCCTTTTCCAACACCCCGTCTACCCCGATTCGATCCCCGTCCGGCCGCATTCACACCTATGGAAAGCTGGGATATTTTCAGCTGTGGTAATTAACCGTTATTTTCCAATTTATTCATCAGTTCACCGTTGGCGCATTCTCCGTGGCCGCGCTCTACGATGGATATCTGGCTTATGATGCGCTGCGCGTGCCCGCCGGGGAATTGATTAGGAATTTCTACAAACAAACGCGAAGGGTGTGTGCTGGTAGATTCACCTCAAAATCGTTTGATTAGATAGCTCAAGACCAAGAAGTGGAGCTGACGCCCGGGATGAAGTGCGCCCTTTCGCTAATCCTGGCGAATTGTGTGGTGACGGCGTTGTGGAAGGTGCCGCAGTTGCAGGCGTTTATGTGGCGTTATTTTAGTAATAGGTGAATTTCAAGATGTCTTGGATCTTTTTCGTTAGCGGGGGATCTGTCCCTTTTTGAGCCTGACCTCCATGGTAATGAAGCGTAAACTATTTCTATAGTTTTTCTGGGCGTTTCTGATGGCCAAAAATTTATAAAAACGGGGAAAAGGCATCAATATTGGAATTTTTGACGTTTTCCAACACGTTTCTGACCAAAAATTCGACATTTATCCGTTTTCTAAGTATTTTATAGACTTTTTGATATCCAAACTGGCTGAGAATGCTATTAATATTAGTCCTATTTAATTATAGAACACTCGCCTCGCTAGTAAACCAATACCCAAGCACTTACATTTAGTTTGAGTTATCCGCCGCGTCGTGCTCACGATAAATTGAAACAAGGTCAATTGAATTTTTCAGCTATGCCTCCAAATCCCTATGTTCGCCAATGTTACTGTCCGTCTTCTCACACTCGTCCCTCATCCATCTCGGCCTCAACATGTACGTCCTGTGGTCGTTCTCAGGGGTAAGTCGCGTTCTCCAGCCTCAAATAGTTTTAGGTCGCCATTGACAAATTCCTCGGTGTCCCCCAGTTCATCGCGATGTACGCATCGGCCGGAGTTGTCGCATCGTTTACGTCGTTGATACACAAGTCATCTATTCGATCGCCGATTCGAGCTGTTGGAGCTGTAAGCTTTTCAAAAGCTTTCAAATTAGCTTTGTTTAGAGCGGCGCCATTCTGGGACTATTGGCCTACACGTGTAGCAAGGTATATTTTTGTCCTTACTTTGAATTTTTTTTTGACTTTTGGTTTGGGTTCATAACTTTTACGTTAAGAATTTTAGATACCAGAAGCCCGTCTCCAAATCGTCTTCCTGCCATTTTTCGATTTCTCCGCCCAGTCGGCGATACTCGGCGTCATTCTGTTCGACGTTATAGGGTTAATTGCGGGCTTCAGGTGATTATTTGACAGAGAAAAATTCATTATTTTAGACTGTTCGACCACGCCGCGCATCTCGGTGGCGCACTTTTTGGGCTGGCCTACGCGCATTTGGCAGAAGAGTATTATAGAGAGTGGGTGAACGTATTTTCGTTCTAAATTTAATGCATGAAAGAATGGAAAATTATAAAGTGATCGTTGTAAATTTAAAGTTATATGGCTATAAACTTTAAAAAAGCAGGAAAGCTTTATAAAATTCCCTTTTAGCATGGTCGACGACAACCTGAAGATGTTCGTCGAATCCGAAAAGGAGGAAGAGCGCAAGAAAAAGAAATAAGCAAATGATGTAACGATTTTCCCCTAGTGATTTTTTTACAACTATTATAACTCGTGATGTTTCACCCAAATTTTGGGTGTCATTTGTGATCAGATCTCAATCTTTCAGATATTTCTAGCCTTTTTTGGGTCCCGCTCGTGAAGGAATAAATTTCGTTTTGGCACCTACAACCGGACAAAAAGTGAAGCTGAAGTCTTTCGCGCAGCACGGATGCTTCGAATCGAGCAAAACGGAGTGGGGCTCATTCCCGGGGACAATAGGGGTTGATTGAGGAGTGGGAGATCCTCGTTTTTTTAGCCTGTCCTCTCAAGATTGGCTTTTTGTCCGGGGGGGTAGTAAGCCGGACGGGGAGCATGGGTTTTTCTTGTCTTTAGGCCCGCTAGCACCCGCCTTCAGAGTCAAAAGGCCGGACGGGCGACAGCAAATTGAAATTCGCCGAGATGTCGGATAGGGGAACGCCCAATTCGGACTGCCGAATTTTTTTTGATGAGGTTTGGGTGTCGTGGCTATATACTTTAACGATAACTACTTTAAAAATTAATTTCAGGAACATTCCGGATTCTGGTACGTTATCGGGGGGGGGGGGGAAATCAAATTTGCTTATGCTCATACGCTATTTTAGTGGGATTTCTGTCCTTTTTCTTTAAAGCCATAATATATCATCCAATTTTTCGAAAAATTTCTGGGTTTTTGTTGTCAAAAATGTTGAAATTTCTTAAATTTATGCTTTTTGATAACTTAGATCTCAAAAACTACGAAACACGCTTTAAATGTAGCCATCAAGGAGCTTAGTCTCAGAACCAGAAAAATTTAGGTTATTCGAATGTCCGAGATTCCAGAAGTTCCAGAGGTATCTAGAGCCCTTCTTTTTCATTATATGAAGATATCCTTTTGATTTAGTACTTGTTACCTACTTCATCGGGGAAATCAAATCCCGGAAACCCGGGGGTCTCGTTGGCCCGACACTCGAGCCAATCACATTTCACGCAATACGGCCGAGAAGAAGGGGGGGGGGGGGCTAGCAAGAACTAGCCACCCTATCTAGCTTACTTTTTCGCGCCTTCTTTTGGAGGCTAGGCGAGAAGCCTTGCTGGACAGGTGATTTTATTTGTTGTGATTTTTAATAGTTGTCGTATTTAGTAGCTTTATATTTAGTTGTACTTCCGAAACAAACATCTTTCAAATTATTAAATTCGCCGCTTTCGAAAGCTTTCTTTCATCTTTGGGCGACTCTGATGAAGCAAAAATCCAGAGTAATTTGATAGTATAACTTTTCTATCGTGGCTTGACACGGCTTAAAATTATTTTTAAGAAACGCGTCAGTAATTTCCTAGTAACGGGTTTTAAAAATTGTTCAAAAATTGTTCTCCGTTTCTTTTTTGGTTTTGTTCGTTTTCGTTTCGGTTTTCGGAGATTTTTGCCGATGTGATCGGGTATACTTAGAGCATCACCAAATAGCGGGTAGACGATGCGATCGTGGTGGGTATTGACGCTCTTTTTGGCTACGGTATCGGCCGATCAGCTCAACAATCGGATCGACACTAATGTAACGACAATCCAGCAGTGTCCGGATGTGCAGCGAAGGAGTGGTGGCGTCAATTTGGTGAGGTTTGAGGGCCATTTTAGTGAATTTGTCGTGGAAAACAGCCCGAAAAATTACGTACTCTCTAAAAATAAACTGAAAAACGAAAACAGCACTTAAATCGATGAAAATATATTCAATTTTTAGCGAATCTTGCATTTTGAAGGCTTTGTTTTAGTGAAATGGTGGCGAAAAAACTCTCAAAAATGCTTTGAGAGCGGCTCTAAATTTGTCTAACTTTCAGGTTTGCTGTAACAGTGCTTCCCCACCATTTGACGGCTTTTCTCCGGTGGGCCTCTGCCAAACCGAGCACTGCCAATGTCATTTACAATTGTTTGACGTGCATTGTGATCGCGGGGTCAGTTTTTTTTTTGCTTTTTGCAACGTTTCTAAGTCTCC